TTATGGTATTGGGTGGGTATTTTCTAATAAATAAAACATTAATTTAAAACCAAAAAGAGAATGTTAAATATGGTAAACCACAGGGACCAATCGTGTAATCTTGTCTAACAATAATAATAATGATGAGGGACCATTTCTGCCAAAAGTATGTAATAAAAGGCGAGGGTTATGAAAAATTCAAACCAAAGTAAAAGGGTTGTTTGTGAACAAAAACATAAAGATGAAGGGTCAATGTTGTAAGTTGGAGGACCAAAATTGACAAAAAAGGTTGCACTTTACTGTTAAAACTTTTCATAACTTTAATATATATATAATTTCTGCCAAAAGTATGTAATAAAAGGCGAGTGTAATGAAAAATTCAAACCAAAGTGAAAGAGTTGTTTGTGAACAAAAGCATAAAGATGAAGGGTCAATGTTGTAAGTTGGAGGACCAAAATTGACAAAAAAATGTCATTTTACTGTTAAAACTTTTCATAACTTTAATATGTATATAATAATGATAAAATTCTTTTACGATTATAAACGGAAGAAAACTTATAAATATTAAATATTAACTTTTACGTATATATTTGCTCAAATGAAGATTAAAACAAAAACAAAAATAAGATTAGTGATTTGTAAAACCGTATGTAAAATGTTTTTCACACTTTTACTGTTGACAATAGGTCCAAATTTGATTGGTAATTTTGACCTTTCAGTACCCTCATTTATGATTTATGTGGACAGATATGTCAGCCGACAACTTGGAGGTCGGCAGCTGTCGGCCGGTGACGGGGGAGTCGAAACCGGGAAGATCCGCATCACTTCTCTCCTAACGATAGAAATACATGTGGTCTCTCGTTTCAATCATACTTCAAACTTTCATCATTAAACTAATATTTCTTTCTTAAACAATCAGATCGGTTCATAATGTTTTATTCCTATAATTAGTATTATACTGTTCTTCGATCTCCTTTCCAGTTTCCAAATCCATTGCTAGCACCTTTCGACCTAAATTCTTCTTCCCTCCCTACATCCGTACACTTTTTATCTTGCTAAGATTTGGGGATAATTCGAATTCAATTGTGCGGTTTTTTTTCTTCTTAAAATGGTATGAGAGGTACCGAAAGTGGGGCGTTTTGTGTCACATTCGTATACGAGGAACCCTAAATTGATTGATGTTGTTTTCGAGTATAAAGTATTCATTTGGTGAAGCCTCATCATTTGATGATTCTGTTTTTCCTGGTTAGATAACAGGTAAACCGTCCACTTTATCCGGTTATCACGGAGTTATTGGCTTCTTCACATTTCAGTTTTATTATATACTTTAAATGGAAATTGTGGTGTCAATTTTGATTTCTTTTGTAAACTTTTGTTCTGGAGATCTACGAAGATTACGGATGACATTTTAATGTTATTTTGTGTATGTAAATGGTAATATATGTTTCGGTTTTTGCTCTATCTGTTAAATGTTATCGCCTTCATCATTTTTAAACGTTTGATGAGGTGTGCCTGTTCATATTCACTTGATTGATTGTAATTCATGTTAAATTCTAATGATTTCAGGTAATCTGAAGTTCTGTTATCATCCATCTCATCATCTGCTGGTTGATGTAAATCATGGAGCATTCAGAAATTGAAGAGAACTTGTTTGCACTTGGTGAACCAAAGGTACTTCCCTACAATGGTAATGATTACAGGGTCCCCAACACAACACCTGCTAATTCATAGCAATGTTATTGTAGTTACATGGAGGAATGTGCACAACACTCTCCTTTATCTATGTCAAAGTATTGGGCATCTTTCCTGACCTTGAAGCAGCCAGACCTAGAAGCACTTCAGGAATTCAAGCATTATGTTCTTTGCATATAGCATTAGAGAAGACAAAGACTATTCTTCAACATTGTGCAGAATGCAGTAAACTTTACCTGGTAAAATCTCTCCCCTCAAATTTTCGTATACATATATTTTTTTTTTCTTTTGTTACCTCTGTATATATCTTATGGATATGGATTTTGCAGGCTATAACAGGAGACTCTGTTGTTCTAAAATTTGAGAAAGCAAGATCTGCTCTAGAAGATAGTCTTAGACGAGTTGAAGATATTGTCCCACAATCAATAGGTTGTCAGATTTCTGAGATTTTAGGTGAACTTGAAGGAATAGAGTTTTCACTCGATCCATTAGAGAAACAAATAGGCGATGAAATAATTGGATTGTTGCAAGAAGGGAGAAATTTAAACAGCAGCAGTGACATGAACGAGTTAGAAACTTTCCATCAAGCTGCATCAAGGCTTAATATCACTTCTTCAAGAGGAGCTCTTCGAGAAAGAAGGGCTCTGAAGAAACTTATAGAAAAAGCTAGAATTGAAGATGACAAAAGGAAAGAATCCATTATAGCTTATCTGTTGCATCTCATGAGAAAATACTCAAAAGTATTCAGAAGTGATTTCTCAGATGATAATGATTCACAAGGTGGGTCAACTCCTTGTTCACCTACAGTCAATGGATCTTTCACAAATGGTTTTGACAGACAGCTGTCAAAGATGAGTTCTTTTAACTTCAAACCAAACTTTAGAAGATCCGGGCAGATGTCAGTGCCGCCCGAAGAACTAAGGTGCCCGATATCATTACAACTGATGTATGATCCGGTTATTATTGCTTCCGGGCAGACATACGAGAGGGTTTGCATTGAGAAATGGTTTGGAAACGGGCACAACACCTGCCCGAAAACTCGCCAGCATTTGGCTCATCTTTGTTTGACTCCTAATTACTCTGTCAAGGGTCTAGTTGCTAATTGGTGTGAACAGAATGGAGTTTTGGTGCCCGAAGGTCCACCGGATTCCCTGGACGTCAACTACTGGAACATATCTTTTTCAGAAACCGAGTCTGCTTTGGTTGAAAACATTGGATCCTTTAATGAGGGAGAAAGAGATGGAGATGAAGATGAAGCTGAAGCTGAGGTTCTCCCTGAGCGTTTTTTGAGTGTTTTGGACAGGGGGGATGAGAGAAAGAAACTTAAAGTTGTGGACCAGATACGCCATTTGTCGAAAGATGATGAAGAGGCTCGAATCTTTATGGGTGAAAATGGTGTTGTTGAAGCTCTAATACGTTTTTTTGAGTCAAGTGTGCATGAAAGAAAGATTGTTGCACAAGAAAGTGCAGCCATGGCTCTCTTCAACCTCTCTCTTAATAACAACAGGTATGTTTCATGTTTGAATGCTTTGCAATTTTGGTACGAGAATGTTTTTTTTTTTCTTTTAATTTTGGTCCTTATGTGAGTTTTGTTTTACGTTTTTCAAGTAAAATGACTATATTACCCTTTTTGGAGGTGGCGGCGTGGTGCCAATTTGATTTTAGTAATTTTATAAAGAGTAATTTACATTTTTGGTCATTAAATGTAGCCAATTTTTATGATTTTGGTCCCCAAAGAGGTTTTGTTTGCAATCTTGGTCACTATTTGAGATTTTTTGTCATTGTTTCAAGAAAATGAAACCAAAACTGCAAAAATGAGCTAATATCAATTATTCAGGGACCGAAAATAGTCATTTTATTTTGAACAGAGACAATGTTAGAGTAACCTCAAGTAAGTACTAAAATTACAAGAGAAACTTTTTGCTACAAAAATTGCTAACATCAGCTCTACTTAGGGACTAACAATATAATTTACTCTTATAAATACAAAATAACTGATAAAAATTTGTAAAAAAAGGTTAGATAAAGGGTAAAATAGCCATTTTATTTGGAATTGGGACCAAAATCGTTATGAAACGTCAAAGAGAGACCAAAATTTAAAAAATAAAAATAAAAAAATACGTAGGGTCATTTTTGTAATTTACCGTTTTATTTAATAACTATGAAAATTATTTCAGGAACAAAGAAAACATGGTAGCGGCCGGAGTACTTCCATTGCTGGAGGAGATGATCAGAAATTCCAGTTCTCCAGCGGCGGTTGCCGCCCTGTACATGAACCTTTCCTCTTTAGAACAAGCGAAACCCGTGATCGGTTCAAGTGATGCGATTCCATTCTTGATCCACATCCTCGAAAACGGGTCGGAATCGGAATCGAAATCCGACGCCCTTCATGCTGTGTACCATCTTTCAACCTGCAATTCCAACATCCAGCGGTTGGTGTCATTCGGAATCCTGAATGCCCTTCAGCCACTGATGGATGACCAAACATGGAGTGAGACAGTGATAGCCGTGTTGACCAACATGGCTAATAACTTAGCCCTAGCCAGAGAGGAGATGGTATCGGCTCATGGTTTGGTGAGTGGGCTGTCAACGGTTCTTGATGTTGGTGAGCCGATGGTTCAGGAGCAAGCTGCGGGTTGTCTCTTGGTTTTGTGTACGGAAAATGATAAGTGTATTCAGATGGTGCTTCAGGAAGGGGTAATTCCGTCTTTAGTCGCCATTTCGGCTAATGGGACGGTGAGGGGGAGACAAAAGGCCGAGAAACTGTTGATGCTGTTTAGGGAGCACCGCCAGCGGGAGCCACCGGTGAATCATGGCGGTGGTGGTGGTTCGCCGGAGATGGGTGTGGGTGTGGGCCGGGTTGATGAAGAAGCAAAGGGTTTGAGTAAGTCGGTGTCGGTGTCAAGGAGAAAAATGGGGCGATCTTGGAGTTCTTTATGGAGAAACAAGAGTTTCTTAGTGCACCAATGTTGACATCCATCTCTATGTCTATAACTTTGTTGCAACTTGTAAATTCTTCTAATCTATTTTACTTTTATTTATTTGTTATATGCATGAATATAATAATTTAAACTTCTTTTACTAAGGACAGTCGTGACATTTTTCCAAAATAAATAAATAAATCCTACTAGAGAATAGAGATGGAACATGAATATTTTACACTTGACGAGTTGGATTGATACCAACTAATTTGTAATTGAAACATTATAGATTTTAGTTATTTTGGTTTACGTATATAATCGGTTTTGTCCACTTTTATATCAAAGCTAATTTAGCTTTCCTTTTAGTTTATACGTAAAGTAAATAAACATGTCGTATCATTTTATCAAGTCTTGCTAATAATAAATTGTATATTCTTTTCTCTTGAGCTTTCATCCATTTCACTACTAGGATGCAGCGTGACCCTAGCTAAACTTATATTTAAATTTTAGAAAAATAAAAAACCCAAGGTATTGTCTCATACTCTCATTATTATTTAAAAAGAAACATTATATTATTTATGTGTCCATTAAAATCATTATAATATATGTTTTTGTTTAAATTAACATTTCACCACAAGATAACCATAGAAAACCACTTAAAACATTTCTAATCACACTTTATTTTTAGAATGTAAAAACAAAATTTAGAGGAAGTAATCCCCAATCGCACTTTTTTTTCATACTCTATTTCTCTTTCATCATTTTTTTATTTATATTTTTATAAATATTCCTTCTAATTATAAGGTTTTACAAATTTTTCTAACAATTTTTTGGTTACAATATCATTAAAACTTATACTTTGAATAAATATAGCCAAATAAAAAGTTTGTTCCGATAAAAATATTAATAAAACAAAAATTTTATTAAATAAATCATTTCATTCATAATATATTAAAGAAATTATACATACATTTGAAGAAATATAAAATATACATTAAAAAAAACATACATATTCAAACATTAGAACTTCCATAAAGCGATGTGATCATTTTTGTCTTTTATGCATTTATACCGACCAATAAATTGTTGAAATAGAGTATCTTCATCTATCGTTGTTTCAACATCTAGATCTAGTTTACCGGACCATTAGATTAGTAATAATGTAATATTATGATATTAGTATTGTGTTTGTGTTTGTGTTTGCCAGTTTGAATTTTTATATGCAAAAAAATCTTTACATTTTTAATTAACTTTAATATTAACTCAAATACCATGTTTTTTATAAAAAATACCGATTGTTTTGTAACATGACATTTATCTTTTTTGTTTTTAGATAAACATGGAAACAAAAATAAGTGATATTGTCTCTTGTTTAAGGTAAAACGTAATAAATAAATCATTTACTTAATGACCATTTACTCAAGCAAAAATCTTACATGTCAACCTAAAAACGAACAAAATGAATGTCATGTCACAAATAAACTAATGATTTAAAAAAAAAACGGACATTTTGGTAAATCTGAAAGATAACTGAAAATGTAAGAGTTTTTCTACATATAAACAAATATAAAGGCTTTCCTAAATGCCGGTGGATAAATGATTGTGTTTTTTTATATTTTGCTCTCATAAAATTAAAACAAGTTAAATAAATTAACTATATATAAACCCAAAGTGGAGGGATCAAATTTGACAATAATAAAGTCACCCTCTATAAATATAAATAGATAGAATGAATAGTAACAACTCTAAATGTAGTTTTATTATTCATTGCTAGGGTAAAATAGAGTTGGGTTGTATATTTTATTATATTTTACATTCTAGTTTAAGTTGGGTTGTATATTTTATTATATTTTACATTCTAAAACTAGAGGGTTAGTGTGAAAAGTAGAGGGTTAACAGAGTGGAGTGGGAGATGCTCTATATTAATAATTTCCAATAGTATTATTGTTTTTAAGAGATCTGTTAGAAACTATATATAATAACATTTATTTTAAGAAGTTATGATTGTTATTCATTAACTAGTTTATAACACGTATGAACGACGGTTATAAAATTAATTAAACTTTCATAGTAAAAACTTAAAATTATTAATCAATTATTTTAAATAAACTATTAATTAAGAGATATCTTTTTAGTTATATAAAATTATAATCATTGATTTAAATAAATACGTGAAATTATATCACTTTATAATCTGTATTAATTTTATTTTAATTTTTATTATAATATTATTAATTTAATGTAATTAAAATGACAAATTTGAAATTTGAAATTAAAAATAAAGAAACAATAGGTTGATAAGTGGTATAATATTAATTAGAAGTCCTAATAAGATGATACATGATAAAAGAGTAAAAATTTATTTTTTTATTAAAATAAGGAGATGCCATATAAACTTTTAACTCCATGGAGGATATCTTGTTGGTTTTCTTGGGTTATACGGCTAAGAAAAATTAGTTAACGAATTAACAAAAATCAATTTAATGGACAAAAAAGTAATATAATAACTTTTTTTAGTATAGAAGATAATACAATGGATTTTTCAAGACTTTTCCTTTTAAATTAACACAAAATAATATGATTATTAATGATTTTATATGTTCATAACTACAGTCCAAAAAAATAGATTTATCAAATATACACAAATACCACATTTACTTTAGCATAAATGTCACATTAGCATTTTTATAAATCCTACCTGGGCAATATCTTACTTATTTTATTCACAAAATTTCTTTTGAAATTCGTACTTATAAATCATCATGAAATCATTATCTTTTCACATCATCCATAATCAGGGTGTTCGGGTCATCTGCACCTTCATTAAAAAAAAAAATAAAAAAAAATAAGTAAAAATAAATCTGTACCCTCATTTATTTCTTGCATACGGCATACACCTTGTGGGCTGTGGCTCAGCATTATTTTCAGCTTTCAACCCTTAAGAAGTTGGTATCCACGATCACAGTCCCTTAGATTTTTGATGATTTACTATTTTACCTCAAACGTTATATGATATCGACATTAAATAGGCATTAACAGATGCTTATGGTTATGGCTAATAAATTCTCCCATATTTGTGCGAACTATCTACCTATTTGCAGCTGACAGATTCATACAACTTTACAAAAGTCTCTCTGCTAATTCAGATCCGTATTATATTATTACAAAAAATTTATTTTTACACTTCAAAAATGTGATTTAGGGTAACACTTATATACTATAAAGTACAAACCCTTCTAGATCCAAAGTATGGGGGGTGTAATGCAATTAACCAATACCAAAGGGAGCATTATTGGCATGGGAATTTTTCAAATTCCCTCCATGTAATCTTGGGATATATACTCTGATAGCCATTGGAGTCTTTCAAGTTCTGTTCCTCTCTTAACATACAGCCAATGGAATTCAAAGAAATTAATGCACTTTGGTATGACCATAAAAAGCCTTTCTGCTCTTACACTGAGAGATATACACAGACACATACACACACATACATACATACATATAGAGAGAGAGAGAGAGAGAGAGATGTTGATGTATCAGGAAGAGTTAATGGAATCCTTAACATTCAGGTACCCTTAGTAAATGTAGTTGAATTGTCTGTGATGTATACAACCACACCACCTTCTGTCCTTCCACTCCATACCCCCTTCAAATCTCTCTCTCTCTCTCTCTCTCTCTAGCTATCTCTTTCAATGAGGAGGAAGATGATGATGTTGGTGTTACTCATAGTTGTACTATTGGGTACAATTTCATATGCACGAGCTACCAGAAAGAAGCTGATAGTAAGATCATCATCACTTGTCATCAACAGCAGCAGCAGTACCCCAGTAATTGGAAACCTGATGAAGTTCTTCAAGTTCAATAATGAAGAGAGAGTTGTACCTACAGGCCCTAATCCCTTACATAATAGGTAGTAAATTGTTTTTCTATGTATAATTTTTATATCTTTATATATGAAACCAATGTAGCTTTCATTTGTCATGACTGAAATATATTATATCATGTGTTAAGTCGTGTTAATTAAGTTGTTAAATTTTCTTATCTATGGATGCTTGTTTCATTGTATACAACTAAAGCATTTGCTAAAGTTTATGTCAAAGCTAGCTACCGCTTCTCAACAATTGTATTTACATTGTCGTTGCTAAATAATTAATTATCAAAAACTACCATTGATTAATTTTTGTATATCTTGATAACTATATTGCAATGGTAATGAAGTTAAAGAAAGGTGTATTATATATGTAAAATGATGAAATTTATTTATTTACATATTCTTAATAGCTATAGTTTATAGATTTTTGATAATTAATCAAGACTTACAGATATGACAATGTTTATTTATCTATTTACATGACAAATGTTATATTTGTATAAGGAGGTGGGAGTGGGACCATGTTTATCCTTATACGGCTATGCCGTACTATTTTCTTGTCCGGTCAAACTTAAAAGTAACTGTAACTATGCATCCATCTTGACTATACATCATTTTTAAAATAATTATTCTGCTTTAATAATCACAAGAAAAAAAAAAGAGATCACTTTTTAAAGTACTCACTCCAGAGATATAGGATATAACTCTGAAAACCTCATATCAATATGCATACCTACATTTTGTCACTATATCAAATTTGTCCATTTT